CTCCATTCTCCTCTCGGGATCTTGGGAACGCACGCACACGCGCCCAGCGTGAGTTTTAAGCCACCGGGTCCGGGACACGAACCACGGTCGACTACGTGGGAATCCAGCGACATAGCCATTACGCTAACTGCTGGTTCCCAAGGGATCAGAATTTTTCATGGTGGGCCCAGAGGGCAGAACCAGAACCTAGGCATGGGAAGCTGTATGGAGGCAGATGCTCTGTTGCAATGTAAGGAAAGCTTCATAGTGGATATAGGGGCTCAAATACAGGAGCAACAGCCATGTGAGGATAGCAGCCTCATTGCTGGAGAGAGGCGAGCAAAAGATGAAATATATTAGCAGTCCTCAGCCCAAAAGTGGAAGCTTCTGCTCCAACTGCTATGAAACAACGCTGCTGCTTCTTCCTAGAACTAGACCTGAAATGCTAGTGACGACCACCCTCTCTCTTCCTCCGGCCCACAACTCTCCACCTGTCCTAAACACTCATCCTGCAGCCAGATCATGCCTCCCTTCTTGGGAGCGAGGCCATTGGCCATTGCCATCTTCCCACCCTTCTGGTTTCTGTGATATTTACTTCCTACAGGCTTCACATTGTCTTGTGGAATGCCCTGACTTGCACTGACTCCTGCACCATCCACCACCCTTGATCTACCGCAGCCTTATGAGGGGATCCCAGACCTACAAAGAATAAGCCTCACTCTCAGACGCAGAGCTCAGCTGTGTACATCTGTATGCCCTCAGGCAAGGTACTCAACCTCTCAGAATCACAGATCACCAATTTATTTGTAATTTTTAAAAACATTTATGTATGTATTTGTTGTGATTTTCAAGCCACCGGGTTTGGGACTTAGAACAGAGGTCAGCCATGTGGAAATCCAGAGGTCCGACAACCATGCCACGTGCTGGCCCGTGTGTGTTTTATTTATAACAGCAAAAATTTTTAAAACTCATAATCAATAGAGAGCACTACATACTATGGTATCTATTCACAAGGGAATATTATGTATGCAGCAATAATGTCATAGAAGAATATTTAGTAACAGAAATGCTCATGAAATATTAAGGGAAAAAAGAAAGTACAAAACATTGTTTGCTATAAATAATAAACAGTTTTGTAGAAAAATATCCCCACTCAGAAAAAAGATTAGAATGATACACACCGTAAGGCTAGGAGTAACTAGTCTCCAATTATTCCTCCTGAAACAATCAACAGGGAACGTGTAATGCTTTTTAGTTAGGAATAAAGTGATTTTCAACACGTTTGCCACTGTCTTTTCATCTTTTACCAGCTCAAAAAAGTAAGGGACAAGGGCAACAAGCAAGAGATGTTGCAACCTGATAAAAGGAAGTGACAGGTGGCAGAGACCATGACATCATCCTGCTTATACTTTCATCAGAACGCCATGACAACATGCTGTATTTTGAACATGAAGAAACAGGACAGAAAGAAAACTGGGCTAGCAGGCAGTCACAACTCAAAGCCAGAGCCAGGACTAGCCTCTCGAAGAATCAGTTCTTGGACCCCATAGGAGCCAAACAGCTTGGTTTCACTGCTCCCTGGCCTGCTCAGTCCCTCTAGAAAGAGTGCCACGTGCCACTTGTGGGTCATTATCTCGCTGTGCCAGGAGGCTGGGCTCCACACGGTGCTGTAGTGGAAAGCCTGCCAGCAGAGCTGCGTCCCCATTCATCCCGTTTTGTCCCCTGGTAATGAGCTCCCTTGGCTCCCTCCCCAGAGATTGGCCACAGAATGGTGCCGGCCAGAGAAGCCCCTTGTGAATGACCCTTCCAGGAATCCAGCAGTTTGGCAGCTGCTCGGCCGCAAGAGGCCAAAGCAAATAGATATTTCAGTGGAAAACCTCAGCATGGTTCCACACAGAATGCCCTCCAGTCCTGGTTGTCATGGTGGTTGATGGCATGGCTGCAGCAGTGTAGGGAGCACCCGTCTGCTGACCCAGTCAGTGGGCAACCCAGGGGCAGGTCCCTTCACCCATGACCTGCAGCCTGAGTAGTGCACACAGATTATTCCCTTCCCACCTAACTCCCACAAGAAAGCTTGTAAACAAGCTCGGGTTTGATGTGTGCAATCTCTGTCATCCTTGCACTCCCCAATCCAATGTTGCCTTTAAAAAAAAAGAGAGAGAGAGAGAGAGAGAGATTTTTGCTATAGGGCACTGGTACTCACTGGGGAGACACAGAGCCAGAAAGTGAGAAATCATTCCCTGGGTGGATGGCCACACCACAATCCCTTCTCCTCCAATCTCCTGTTGGATCTGGGGCATGCACATACACACCTGGCATAATTTTCAAGCCGTTGGATACGGAACTCAAACTGCACAGCTGGCCTTTGGAATCTACCGCCTTAACTTCCACGATACCTACAGGCCCATAATAATTACTGCTTGCACAATTTAAGAATGACTCAGTTCCGCTCTGCTCTGCATATGCTATGGTCTTCCTCACTGTTCCTGGAGAATTCAAACTGTACGTGGATTAAAGGCCACTGACAAAGGGCAATCTGGGCAGACGGCTTGCCCTCTGTTGTTCACTGTAAACACAGACCCATGACACCAGTTGAGACGGACTCGGAATGGCCATCACCAGGGCTATGTACTGTCATGTTTTGCACTTCGGTCAGATGGCCCAGAGCCACCAAGATTTCCATTTTTCCCCTCCCATATCCCCAAAAGTTTCCTCATTGTAAAACTTTCCATGTATAAGCCAAGCCCCACTCAGAGGAAGGAAACAGCGTGGCCTCATTCACCAGGGAATCCTCCCAGAAGAAGGTTCAGGAACTAAGGCTGGAAGCCCCAAATAGAAGAGACTGCACTGCTGTGACTTCAGAGGGGTGATCCTCGGGAGAAATTTTTCTACCTGAATCACTCATCCAAGCCAAGATCTCAGCTTTCCACTCCTCATTTCCTTCCCTGTGCTCTGGTCTATCTCCTTGCTGTGACTGCTACCAGGAAACAATTCTTCCAGGTCCCAGGGTAGCTATCCTCAGTCAGGTCTGAGGCCAGCTGGCTGGTTGAAGCTCAGGAGACTTTCCGGCTGCATGCCGTGGCTGATGTCCTGTCTACACAAGACTCACAGAGTAGCCTCACTCAAACTTTAATAGCAATGGAAGTAAATGATCCCCTTAGCTCCTCCTCTCACCATACAATCCCCTCCCCTATGGCAGGGGAACAGAAGTCCCCAACTATGGAGGGAGGGACCAGTCATCCCTGGCCTGAATGATCTCGTCACTGTGTTCCATAAGTAGGATGGGACTGGCCTACCTCTGTCCACCCCCTGGATGAGAAGGGCTCACCTTCCCTTTCCCACCCACAGCTGAAACACGAAGCTGCAACGCGTCTCTTCAACAATGTTAGGACAATAAGGCACAGGGGACAGCACGCAGGTGGGTACCATTCCAACCATCCCATCTCAGAAAGCTCCAGCAGGGCCATCTGATAGAAGCGTGGCAGGCAAGGAAGCTTTATTTCAAAGGTCTATTTTTTTTTTTTTTTTGGAGAGATTTTCGCTATAGGGCGCGTGCGCTCGCCAGACAGACAGAGAGAGACATAGAGACAGAGAGCG